AAAAAAAAAGATATTAATCCTGGAGTTTCCCTCGTGGTGCAGTGGTTAAGAATCCGCCTGCCAATGCTGGGGACACGGGTTCGAGCCCTGGTCCAGGAAGATCCCACATGCCATGGAGCAACTAAACCCACGTGCCAGAACTGCTGAGCCTGTGTTCTGGAGCCCATGAGCCGCAACTACTGAGCTCACGTGCCACAACTACTGAAGCCCATGCGCCTAGAGCCTGTGCTCTGCAACAAGAGAAGGCACCTCAGTGAGAAGCCCACGCACCGCAACCAAGAGTAGCCCTTGCTCAACGCAACTAGAGAAAGCCCGCGCACAGCAACAAAGACCCAACGCAGCCAAAAAAAAAAGAAAAAAAAGATATCAATCCTGAACTAATAAATATGCTATTCCTAAAGGTAAAATAAAACAACCTAAGTGTTTTGTGTTGTATTTCTGTTGCATAGCAATGTTATGGATGCTGAACTTTGTGTTAAGTGTTGAAACATATTTCCCTATTTGTGTTGGTTGCTAAGAAGCTTAAACCCAAATTTTTTTTTTTTTTTTAATGGAGGCTGAGAAGTCCCTTGATATGCCATCTGCAAGTTGCAGAACCAGGAAAATTGGTGACGAAATTCAGTCAGAGACGGAAGGCCTGAGAATCAGAACCAACAGTGTAAGTTCCCCGTTGGAGCTAAAGGCCCAAGAACCAGGAACTTCAAGTCCGAGGACAGGGGAAGACGGATGTCTCAGCTCGGGCAGAGAGTGAATTCGCCCAACCTCCCCACCTTTTTGCTCTATTCAGGGCCTCAATGGATTGGATGGTGGTCACCCACATTGGTGAGGGCATCTACTGATTCAAATGCTAATCTCTTCCAGAGACACCCTCACAGACACACCCAGAAAAAAAAGTTTAACCAGATATCTGGGCATCCCTTAGCTCAGTCAAGTTTACACATATGAACAAATGTTCATAATAGCATTTTTTTTTTGATGTGGACCATTTTTAAAGTGTTTACTGAATTTGTTACAATATTGATTCTGTTTTATTTATTTTTTGAATTTTTGAATTTTATTTTTTTTTTATACAGCAGGTTCTTATTAGTTATCCATTTTATACATATTAGTGTATACACGTCAATCCCAATCTCCCAATTCATCCCACCACCACCACCCCGCCCGCCACTTTCCCCCCGTGGTGTCCATACGCTTGTTCTCTACATCTGTGTCTCTATTTCTGCCCTGCAAACCAGTTCATCTGTACCATTTTTCTAGGTTCCACATATATGCGTTAATATACAATATCAGCTTAAATCCAAATTTGTACCCCATCCGCAATACAGATGATTTTATGTTCAGCCCAATTCCTGGATACCTACTTCTAAATTTATAATATTGGTAGATCTTACATACTCCTAACGATGCCCGAAATCTTTTTTTGAATGAGGCAAGAAATGAAATGGAATTAAATGTTCCTTTGTGTTTTCATCGCATACAGGTTTCACTTCTACAACAGCATTTGTTTCATTCTGTTGTATTTGATTCACTCTTTACAGTTTTCCACATATGTTCCCAAAAGACAGGTACTGGGTCTTACAAAAATTAACATTTGTATATTGCTTTACAAAGTGCTTTCACATCTATCATCTCATTTAAATCCCACAACAACCCTATGATGTATGATTACCAACTACACTCTACTAAGATAAGAAACTAAAGCACAGGGAGGAGAATTAATAAGCATGAAGCCAAGAGCTAGAACCCCAAACCAAGTTCTAGCACTAAGTGCTATGCTCTTTCCACCAAATTGCTTCTTTTATTCACCATTCTTTCCCACTCAGTGATCAACCTAGTTGGGTGTCCTAATCAACACATGGTGGGTCTTCTGGTTCTTGTTTTGTTTTCTAACAATAAAAACGAAGGAGTAGGTACAACAGAGTTTAAAGGAATCCTAAAAGGTCACAGGCACTCTTTCAATGCTTGCATCCATTTAACAAGTTTTTTGTTCAGTCTCTGCTTGGACACCTCCAGGGCTAGAGGAGTTCAGTACCTGCTGAAGCAGCCATGGCTCAATTAATATGAAATTTTGCCATCCATAATTTCTACCTGTTGGTTATGGTTCTCAGGCACATATCAGTCCAATTCTCCAATGTCTGAAGATAGCTGTCATGTCTACCACCCCATTCAAATCTTCCCTCCTCGAGCACTGCAGATGTGGCAGGAGAAAAATGAGGCCCTGATGGCAGGGATACTTACACAGACACAGGTATTATACAAGATGCTCAAACAGTCCTTGGACATTTCATCACTTACTGAAAGTAAAAGGGGAATAACTGGTTATTGTTCTCATTGGAAAGATAGTGTAACAGAATTAAATTTTTGAACACAGAATTGTTCCTCATAATCCCCTCCAAGATGATTATTTTCCTTTTAGCATACCTCCTTCCAGTCCTTATTCACCAAAGAGTTTCATGGCACCTGCATCAGAGCCTACAAACCAATTTGTACACTGCTTTTTGGTTTGATATAGTATTATGCTTATTATGTTCCACAGTCTTCATAATTTCAACCTGTTGTGGTGTTATCACTTAGTAAGCCATGTTCCTTTATAGCTTGATTAGAATTATATCCAGGGTTTTAAAAATTTTGCTATTTAAATAGACTAGAAATAAACAACATAACATATAGTCCTTTTATGCTTGTGTTGAACTGGTTCCCTAAGATACATTTCCAAAAGCAGAATTACGAGAATCCAAAGTAATTGGACTGATGTTATAAATTTCCACTGAAAATTCTACTAGCAGCAAACAAGGATGTCATTTTTACTACAGACTCAACGTGTTTTGTTATTTACGTTGGGTACCAATAAAGAACTAGTTACTTCTCTGTGAGCAGGAACAGGAGAGTACGACAAAAAGGAAACTAAATTTTCAAGTCCTCAAAACTGGGAGATGATAAAATTGAGTATGAACCACGGATAAAGTGTTTTGTTTGGCATTACTTTTATTTTAAAAAAATGTTTCCATTCATTCCTATGCTGCCACAAACTCTAAAATGTTAGGCTTCCCTCCAAGATCCCAGTGGGCAGCCCTGCCAAGCTAGCTTGACCAGAAGGGTTATCTGACATAATCTTGAGACAATGCAGATGTCCTGTATCCCTCATCACCACTTTTCAACCTATGGGGGCTTTCTGGTTTATTTATTTCACGACTTCAGAGCAGGTTGGAACAACCAAATCAGTATATCTCAGTACTTCTAGACCTTTCATTTTCAAAGGGAACTGGAATTCACTCATTCATCAAATATTTATTCAGCAGCCACTCTAGAGCAGATACAGAATATACAGTGGTTAGCGGAAAAAAAAAAAAAAAAAGACAAAGCCTCGTGAAACTTATAAATCTAGTGGGGGAAGAGAGAATAAATAAGTACACCAACAAGTAATTACAAGATGCTACCTGCTATGAGGGTAGAGGACATGAAGACCAATTTAGATAGGATACAAAGCTGCAACATAAAAGATGAATATGAATCCTCTTAACCACTACTACACATACAAACAAGGCCTTACATAATATGTCATGTTGATGTTGGGAGGAAAATTTTTTTAATTAAAAAAAAAGTGATATTTGTAGTAGAGCATTCATCAGATGTTAACTGATCTCTGGCTTTTAATGCCAAAGTAAGTGTACTTACTCATTTTTTTAAATTATCAACTGACTACCTAAGAATAATATTTGCAACATGTGTAAGTTATAGAGAATAATAATAGAATAATACCCATATACCTACCACCCAGTCCAAGAAATAATGTGCTACCCTAAACACAAATAAATTACACATTCTGGTAATGACTGAACTTTTCACAAAGAGCTTATATCACTTTTATAACAACAAAAACAAGACAAGAATTTAAAAAAATAAAACAAATGATCTTACCAGGCTTTTCCTTACTCTCTCAATTAATTATATGAGAAATAAGAATTTGCAAAGAAAACATAAAAGCTGAAACCAAGGACTATTAGAAACTACAAAGATGCAATTCTTTTAGCCCAGTAGTTTTCACACTTTTTCTTTTAAAGCACTAGATTTATATTTCTACCAAGTATAAAATAAAGAGAGCTGCTTAGTTAGGGGCGGAGAGTGTCCCTACAGCCGAACATAAGGCATGTCCTCATTGTCAAGAGTTAGGAAGAGAAAGAAGAGAAACTCCTGGGAATTACCATCATAACAGCAGGTTAGGAAATGAGTACCAGTGGCTGATAAGTATACTTACTTTTCAGTTTCTGTCCCCGAATAGAGATTGTAGGCCTCATAAGAATTTCTACAAGGAGCTATAAAAAAAAATTGGATAAAACCTTCAAAATTCAAAGCACAACTTACAAAACAATCTTTGCCATGACAACTCATGGCCCAAATATCTGTCAGGGTACTGCAAGACCCTCTTGTTCCCAACACAGGCAGAAGGCAGTGAAGTTCAGGGAAATGAGCACTGTACCAAGAGTCAGGAAACCTGGGCTCTAGTTGCAGCTCAGCCACCTATTCCCCATGTAAACTCGGGCAAGTCAGTGTCCCTCCATGGCCTTGGCTCTCATTTTTAAAAATAAGAATGTTAGATTAGTTAATCTCTGGGGTCCAACGTGGCTTTAATTTTTTAAAAGCTGCAGAACATTTTCACTATGATTCCTCTTTCGCTTTAGAATATTTGTGTTCTTTTTATAAACATAAGTTTATAAAAAGAATCACAAAAGGTACACCATAAACTGTTAATACTGATTTCTACAGGGGGCTGGGGAGTATATGCATTCATTTATCATTTTACATACTTTTAATACAACATATAATTCTGTTTAAACTGTTTACAATAAATATGCATTTAAAAACCCATTCTGTTGAAACAAAGGACAATTTATAATGATAAAAGGGTCAATCCACTGGGACGATATAACAATTATAAACATATATGCATCTAACAACAGAACCTCAAAATACATAAAGCAAAAGCTGACAGAACTGAAGGAGACAATTCAAAAATAATAGCTGGATAATACCCTACTTTCAATAATGGATAGACAATGAGGTATTACCAAAAATATAGAAGACTTGAACACTATAAACCAACAAGCTCTAACAGACAGCTATAAAGCATTCTGCCCAGCAACAGAATACACATTCTACTCAAGCACACATGGAATACACATACACACACACACACACACACACACACACACACACAGAGGAATACTACTCAGCCATAAAAAAGAATGAAATTTTGCCACCTGCAGCAACATGGATGGACTTGGAGGACATTATGCTAAATGAAATAAGTCAGACAGAGAAAGACAAACACTGTATATCACTTGTATGTGGAATCTAAAAAAGTAAAACACAATAGTGACTATAATAAAAAAGAAGCAGACTCACAGATACAGAGAACAAACTAGTGGTTACCAGTGGGTGGGAGGGGCAATATAAAGGTGGGAGAGTGGGAGGTACAAACTAGTAAGTCTAAGATAGCCTACAAGGATGCATTGTACAACATGGGGGATACAGCCAATATTTTACAATAACTATAAACAAAGCATAACCTTTAAAAATTGTGAATCACTATATTGTACAACAACTATACTTCAATAAAAATGCAAAAAATAAATTTCTCTTAAAAGAAAAAAAAAAGGGAATTATCTCAAACCAATAACCTAACCTTTCACTTCAATTCACTGGAAAAAGAGGTGCAACACAAACCCTAAGCAAGCAGAAGAAAAGTAATAAGGATTAGAATGGAAACTAATTTAGCAGAGAATAGAAAATAACAGAGAATATCAACGAGATCACCACTGACCTTATAGAATACAAGAACTACCTTCCTCCTGATGAATACTTTTAACTATTATATATAATGCCACACTAAGCATCTTTGTATACAAAGCCTTATCTCATTTTGACTTATGTCTTCATGAGAGATTCACATAAATGGAAACAACAGGGCAAAATGAGTAATGATCTTTAAGGTTTTGAGGCATACTAACACAAATGCTTTTGAAAAGAGATGCCCCACTTTTCACAGTCATCCAAGAAAAGTATAAGATATTCATCTGCATAGGTTATTATATTTAAAATAAATTCTCTTCAAATAGAGGATGGACTATGTCAATGAATAAATTAAAAGTCCCTGAATGCCAAGTGATGGATCATACCTGGGCCACAGACATAATTCACATGGCCTACATCTACTGAAAAGCTGGGAGATTCTACGTAAGAATCTAGATTTCCTATATCTCTGAGGGCAAAGGTCAACAGGAATGGAAGCCATTTCCCCATAAAAGCAGGCATGCACTCTCTGGTTCCTCCTAGTCCCTGAAGTCATTTAATTTATGCAGATCTCCACTTTTTTTCTTTTTTTTAATAGATTTATTTATTTGGCTGCATTGGGTCTTAGCTGCCACATGTGGGATCTTCACTGCAGCATGCGGGATCTAGTTCCCCGACCAGGGATTGAACCTGGGCACCCTGCACTGGGAATGTGGATTCTTAACCGCTGGACCACCAGAGAAGTCCCAGAGAGACATACCTGTTACTTTGTACCTTAAAAAAAAGGGGATATATATATATATTTAAAATTTTTATTAATTTAATTAATTATTTTTGGTTGTGCCGGGTCTTAGTTGTGGCATGCATGTGGAATCTAGTTCCCTGACCAGGGAACAAACCCGCGCCCCCTGCATTGGGAGGCGAATTCCTAACCACTGCGCCACCAGATCGATTTACATAAATCAATTATTCTAGTGTAAAAGCTTTGGTGCTTCAATGTATGTGAATACCACTGAGCTTCTAAAGATGAAAATTCTGGGGACTTCCCTGGGGGTCCAGCGGTTAAGACTCCACCTTCCAATGCAGGGGGTGTGGGTTCAATCCCTGGTTGGGGAAGATCCCACATGCCACGTGGCCAAAAAAAAAAAAACTATGCCTGTAGTGATAGTTACTCTGTAACTCTGTAAATACACCAAAAATCATTGAATTGTACAAGTAAAGCAAGTGAACTGTATGGTATGTAAATTATAACTCAGTAAAAATTTTTTAAAAATCATAAAAAAAGATGAAAATTCTGAAATGTTTGCTATAAATTCTAAAATGTTTCCTACCTCCCATTTCAAGAGTTAAATTCCCAAGCCATTAAGTAGCAGTAGTAATAATAAACAACAACTTACATCAACACCTCCAAACAAATCAAAAATGTAAGTATTTGGATAAGTGGTTTCTTGGGTAAGTTTCCTCTCTTCAGTAACAAATGCCATAGCCTCCATGGAGAGAAGAGGAGAAATTTCCTAGTGAAAAAGCATACAGAAAGACATTCAGTTTAGCATCCAACACAAACCAGACACCAAAACACCAGTTTGCATTTTAGTCACAACTTGAACTCCCACGAGGTCAAAGACAATGAATCATAAAAAAAAAAATCTTACAGAAAAGCTGATACAATAAAAGTTGTTGTAATAGTAGCAATAGCTAACTTATTAAACGCTTATTATGTACCAGGCATGGTTCTAAGTACTTCATCTATTACCTATTTTAATCCTCACAACCCAATGATATAATGGTAATTTATCAGCCCAATTTTACAGATAAGGAGACTGAGACACAAAGAAGTTGTCAATGTCATACAGGGTATGTGAGAGTCAGGACTTAAACCTAGGAAGTCTGGCTCCTGAGTCTGTGCTTACAAAAGAAAGCAGAACTATTTGGGGTGAAACAGGAGATAGGATATGAAGAATATAATAGGGCCCTACTCATTATGCTCCCTTCTCAGGAACCTCGAGGGAAGATGGAACACAGTGGGCTAGAGCAGTAGTTCTCGCACAGTGATGAGCATCAGAATCATCTGAAGGGCTTGTTGAAACCCAGACTGCTGGGTCCCACCTGCAGTTTCTGATTTAACAGGTCTGGGGTGGGGCCTGAGAAGGTGCATTTATAAATAAGTCTCCAAGTGATGCTGATGTTGGTCCAGGTACCACACATCAAGAAAAAGAAAAAAAAAAAAAAGAAAGAAACAGCAGAATCCTCTCTTATGGATAACCTATTATATGCCAAGCACTTGGTTTCTATACTTTAGCCCATTTAATCTTTAAAACAATTCAGTGAAGTGAGTGTAGTTTTACAGGTGAAAAACAAAATCACGAAGTTGTACAAGATCACATAATTAGTAAGTGACTGAACTACTTTCCCTGGGTTTCATTTCTCTCATTTATAAAACTAGAATGTAATTCTGCTGGCAACATGGTACAATGCAAACTGGTTTCAGGAGTAAGACAAATCTGGGCTCACAGCAATAATAGCCACGTGACTTTGGGCAGGTTATGCTGAGTCTGTTTTCTCAACTGAAAAAGGGAACGGAGAAGACATCTGGATTTGCCTGCTCAGTATCTCCTTCTCTCTTCCTCAGACAACAGCCCTACTTCTGTGGAGGAACATGAGGCCACACACAGTTGTCAAGATAAGAAATGGACAGCCTAACTCTATCTGGCCCCTCAGTTCACATCTGTGCTTTCCGATTATGTGAGACAATAAAAGATCTTTTTCGCTAATCTGAGTGGGTTACTGTTACCTGCAATCAAAGTATTTTGGACTAATACACTAATACCACCCATCTCACAGAGTTATCATAAAAATTAAATATGCCTGGTACACAGTAAATTTCAAATAAGTATTTGCTGAATGCATAAAGAAATGATGATCACATAGCAAGCACTCAAAATATTAATTTCCCTCTTTCATCTACCTCATATCTCCGAGATTTTGCAGGAATCAAATGAAATAATGCATTATTCCTTGCAAAATGTTTTCAAACAAGTGTAAGACACTATTTCTATCCTAATCAGACTGTGAGAAGATCAAGAACACAAAATGCCTTCTTTTTAATTAAACTTTTATTTGGGAATGATTTTCAACTTACAAAAAAGCTGTATAGACAAAACATCTCTTCTATTTTTTTTAAAGATTTATTATTAATTAATTAATTTATTTATTTCTGGCTGTGTTAGGTCTTAGTTGCAGCATGCAGGATCTTCGTTGAGGCACACGGGATCTTTCGTTGCAGTGTGCAGGTTTCTCTCTAGTTGTGGTGTGCGGGTTTTCTCTTCTCTAGTTGTGGCGTGCAGGCTCCAGGGCGCCTGGGCTCTGTAGTTGTGGCACGCGGGTTCCAGAGCACGTGGGCTCTGTAGTTTGCGGCACACAGGCTCTCTAGTTGAGGCACACGGGCTCAGTAGTTGTGGCAAGTGGGCTTAGTTGCCCTGCAGCATGTGGGATCTTAGTTACCCTGCAGCATGTGGGATCTTAGTTCCCTGACCAGGGATTGAACCCGCGTCCCCGCCAGTGGTAAAGGCGGATCCTTTACCACTGGACCACCAGGGAAGTCCCAAACATCTCTTCTCAAAGGTACAGACTAAACTTTTTGGCCCTATTATATATACTTTTTTTTTTTTTTGCGGTACACGGGCCTCTCACTGCTGTGGCCTCTCCCGTCGCGGAGCACAGGCTCCGGACGCGCAGGCTCAGCGGCCATGGCTCACGGGCCCAGCCGCTCCGCGGCATGTGGGATCTTCCCAGACCAGGGCACAAACCCATGTCCCCTGCATCGGCAGGTGGACTCTCAACCACTGCGCCACCAGGGAAGCCCTATTATATTTTTAAATGACTTCTTATGCGATAATAATAAACAGAACTTCACCTCTGAAAAACATTATATCGTTTCATTATGATCAAATGTAACTTGCATGGGTTTTAGCTACATTAGAGCCAGTAATCTAAATTCAAATTTGGACCCACCTCCCCAAGCTGAAGTCTGACCTACTAAATAAGAAACTGCTGGTAGAGGGCCCAGGACTCTGTTTTAACAAGCCTTCCAGGTGACTCTGATACACACTCAAGATTGAGAACAACTGCTCTAGATGTCTATGCATTCTTTCCATCCCTCTCCCAACCACCAGGCCCAGTCCCTTCATCTTTATATGTTAGTCATAATTATCAACAGCCACAAGGCTACTTCTTGAACCTTCAGCAAAATGGGATCTTTTAAATCCTGTTGAAAAAGAAGGTAACCTAATCCCAGGGCACAGGCCTCCTTAATTAAGCAAGCACTGATATAAAACAAATGTGAATAAAACCCAAAAGTATATACACAGGAAACTTAATGGTGATTATCTCTGGGTGGTGGGGGATTATTGGTGATTTTTATTTTCTTGTTTGCACTTTTTCTGAACTTCCCAAATTTTCTATAGCTTATGCAATAAAAACACACTATTTTAAAAAGTAGGCGGAAGAAGAGGAAAAAAACAGACATCTTGTGTCATCTGGAGACCCTGAATGCAGTCCCTCCAAGTCCCCTAACAGTTACCTTGAGGATGTTCTGGCACTCAATGAAGTCACTGTGGAGGTGGCTGGTTGCATACAGCTTAAGGAGCAGCTGAGGAATTCCACTCCATTTGGACTGTTTGTCCCTCTCCGTCAAAAAAGTTTCAGTGAACTGTGAAGCAAAAGAAAAAAAAAAAGAGGAAAAGTTTACTGGTGAGGAAAGAACTACTAGCATATACAGCAAAAGAGAGCAGCTGGCTCCCAAACCCACCCAGGGCAAATAATTCAAAGGTCTTTCTAGAAACGTTCAGAAGTTCCCCAACAGCCTGCAAGATAAAAGTCCAGCTCCTTGCTCGTGATACACACCCTTCCTATTCTATCACCTACTTTCCTCTCTAGCTTCATCTCTTTCCCAGTGACCGCTCTAGCCTCCAGATGTACATGTTCTCTCTCTGTGCCTCTCTGCACATGCTTTTCCCCTGCCTACAGAGCTGTGTACCTGTATATATGGTATGCCACTTGTGCAGGGAGAAAATAAACCTAAGGTCGGAGCAAGGTGGGTAATTACTTACACACACACCCATATACAGTTGACCCTTAAACACAGGTTTGAACTGCGTGGGTCCTCTTATATATGGGATTTTTTTCAATAGTAAATACTACAGTACTACACAATCCACAATTGGTTGAATCCGCAGGTGCAGGGAAACTGCAGGTATGGAGGGCCGACTCAAAGCTATACAAGAATTTTCAACTGTGGAGGGTCAGTGCCCCGACCCCCTGTATTGTTCAAGGGTGAACTCTACTGCCACAGAACATCTTTGGATGTCTTTTCTATCTGGAAAGCTCCTCCTCCCTGTCTTTTCTACCCAGAAAGCTCTTTCTCCTAAATGCAAGCCAAAAAACCAGAAATTTTCCTTGATAGGCCTTCCCCTCTCTCCTTTCTAAGAGTCTGGGGCCTTATCTAACATTTATCATATTGTATCATAATTACTGGCTCATTTGTCCCCCCCTCCTGTAGACCACAAGCTCCTTCAGAGTAGGTACCAAGCTGCGTTTATTGTGCACACCTTCTTTCTCTCAAAGAATGCCACACACAGATCAGACGCTCAGTAATTGTGTGAAGGCATGAGCAATAGCCTAGTCTAATGACAGGTTCATTAATCAATATGGCAGTGTCTACTTTGGGGACACAGCATTATCAGATGCCAGAAGTCAATTATTTTCAGGTACACTTGTCCCTCAATTAGATCAAAAGTTCACTGTAATTTGTTACAGGACACGCACGTCTTCGATAACATCTTAGCCTATCCGGACGCATATCAGTCCTATGACCTTGAGCAAGTCCCATTATTCTTCCTGAGCTTGTTTTCTTACACTGTAAAAATAAGATAATACAGGGGTAATGGGAGGTAATGAGATGTTTGTGAAAGTAATTTGTATTAGGGTGAACCATAGGAAATTATCACTTCCGTAGGTCTAAATGATTATCAGAAATTTTATATACTTCAAGCAAGCTCAAATCAAGGCAAGCCCCAGAACTATGAAAAAACATCTTTCCCTTCCTTGAAAGGAAAGAAATAGAAGACGATAATGGTTTCATGGGACTCAGCAAAAGCAGTGCTTACAGACAAATTTATAGTTATAAACATTTATATTAAAAAGGAGAGAGGATCTCAGATGATCTTATCTTCCACAATAAGAAACTAGGAGAAAAAAGGAATAAACCAAACCCAAAGCAAGCACAAGGAAATTAAAAAGATCACTGCAAAAATAAGTGATATAGAGAAAAGAAAAATAAAAGAAAAATCAACAAAATCAAATTTGGTTCTTTGAAAAACCAACAATATTGAAAACAGTTACAGTGACCAACTCACACTGACTCAACTATATTCAGGAATGAAAGAGGGGACAATACTACCAATTTTAAGGAAATAAAAAGGTTTACAAGGAAGTACTAGGAGCAACTGTATGCCAACAGACTACATAACTTAGATGAAATATACAAATTCCCAGAAAGAAACAAACAACAGAAACTGACTCAAGAAGAAACAGAAAATCTGACATACCTACAATTAAAGAGATCAAATTAGTAATTTAACAGGAAAGGAAGAAAGGGAGGGAGGGAGCAAGTAAGGAAGGAAAGAAACTACCCACAAAGAAAAGCCCAAGTCCAGATGCTTCACTGGTAAATTCTACTGAACATTTAAAGAGAAATCAGCAAATACTTCACAGACTCTTCCATAAAACAGAAGAGGAGGGAACAGGTCCCAACTCATTCTATGAGGCTACTATTATCCTGATACCAAAACCAAACAAAGACATTAAAAGAAAACTTATAGAACAATATCTCTGATGAATATAAACACAAAAACGCCCAGCAAAATAGCTGATCCTTGAACAACATGGGGGTTAGGGGTGACAACTGCCCATACAGTTGAAGTTTACAGTCAGCCCTGTATCAACGGTTCCACATCCACAGATTCAACCACAGATCATGTAGTACTGCAGTAAGTATTTATTGAAAACAATCCACATATACGTGGACTCATGGAATTCAAACCTATTGTTCAAGGATCAGCTGTGCCAGCAAACCAAGTCCAACAATATGTAAAAAGGATTATACAACATGACAAAGCAAGATGCATGTCAGGAATGCAAGGTTGGGTCAAACATGAAAACTAATCGATGTAATCAATCTGATAAAGGGCATTAATCAAAATTCCACAGCTATCATCATAATTAACAGTGAAAGCCTGAAAGGCAAATATATTGTAAAGGCTGAGGATCAACCACTTAAATAAGCTATATGAAGATTAAAAGACAAAAAATTGTAACTATAATAAACAATAAAGGAATAGGAATAAACATAAAGATATAAACTATGACATCAAAAACAAAATGTGAGGGAGAGGAGTAAAAAAATGTAGATCTTTTAGAATGCATTTGAACTTACATGACTATTAGTTTAAGACAAGTCAATACAGTTAAAAGTCAACATATATGAATGTCATAGTAACCACAAATCAAAACCTAAAATAGATACACAAACACTAGAGAAAAAGGAACACAAGCATGCCACTAAAGAAAATCGTCAAACCACAAAGGAAGAAACTAAAAGAAGAAAAAGAGAACAGAGGAGAACTACAAAAACAACCAGAAAACAAGTAACAATAGGGACTTCCCTGGTGGTGCAGTGGTTAAGAATCTGCCTGCCATCGCAGGGGACACAGGTTCAATCCTTGGTCTGGGAATATCCCACATGCTGCGGAGCAACTAAGCCCATGCACCACAACTACTGAGCCTGCGATCTAGAGCACGCACACCACAATTACTGAAGCCCACGTGCCTAGAGTCTGTGCTCTGAAACAAGAGAAGCCACTGCAATGAGAGGCCCGCGCACTGCAACAAAGAGTAGCCTCTGCTCAACGCAACTTGAGAAAAGCCCACATGCAGCAACGAAGACCCAACGTGGCCAAAAATAAATAAATTTTTTTAAAAAGGGAAAGAAGGCCCTGATCGTTTGAAAAAAAAAAGTAACAATTAGTACATACAAGGCAGTAAGTACATACCTATCAATAATCATTTTAAATGTCAATGGACTAAATGCTCCAATCAAAAGACACAGGGTGGCTGACTGGATTAAAAACCAAGACCCATCTATATGCTGCTTATAAAAGACTCATTTCAGAGCTAAAAACACACCTGAAAGTGAGGGGATGGAAAAAGACATTTCATGCAAACGGAAATAACAAGAAAAAATACTCATATCAGACAAAATAGACTTTAAAGCAAAGTATATAACAAAAAAAGAAGGGCATTATATAATAGTAAAGGAATCAACAGAAGAGAGAATATAACACTCATTTACATATACTCACTTAATACAGAAGAACCTAAATACATAAAGCAAACATTAACAGACATAAAAGGAGAAGTTGACAATAACACAATAATAGTAGGGGATTTAACACCCCACTTACATCAATGGACAGATCACTGAGACAGAAAATCAATAATGAAACAGTGGTCTCAAATAACACATTAGACCAGTTGTACTTAATAGGTATCTACAGGACAGTCCATCCAAAAAAAGAACATACAGTCTTTTCAAGTGCACGTGGAACATTCTCCAGGAAAGACCACATGCCAGGCCACAAAACTAGTCTCAACAAATTTAAGTGCATAGATAATTATGTCAAGCATTTTTTTCTGACCACAACAGTATGAAACTAGAAACCAATTACAAGAAAAATGGGGAAAAAACACAAACAGGTGGAGACTAAAATAAACTACCAAAAAACCAATGGGTCACTGAAGAAATCAAAGAGGAAATCAGAAAATACCCAAAGAATGAAAATGGAAACACAACATTCTAAAATCTGAGATGCAGCAAAAGCAGTTCTAAGAGGGGAGTTTATAGTGATACAGGCCTATATCAAGAAACAACAAAAATCTCAAATAAAGAACCTAAACTACTATCTAAAGGAATTAGAAAGAAGAACAAACAAACCCCAAAGTCACAGAAGGAAGAAAATAATAAAAATCAGAAAGGAAATATATAAGAGAAACCAAAAAAAAAAAAAAATAATAGAAAAGCTCAATGAAACCAAGATCTAGTTTTTTTTTTTTTAAGATCTAACAAAACTGTTAAGCCTTTAGCCAGAAAGAGAGAGGACCCAAATAAACAAAATAAGAAATGAAAGAGGAGAAATAACGACTGATATCACAGAGATACAAAAAAATCACAAGCGAATATTATGATCAGTTATGTGCCAACAAGTTGGACAACCTAGAAGAAATGGACAAATTTCTAGAAACATACAACCTTCCAATACTGAATCAGGAAGAAACAGACAATCTGAACAGCTTGATCACTAATAGTGAAACTAAATTTGAAATTTAAAAAACTTCCAGCAAACAGAAGTCCAGGACCAGACAGCTTCACAGGAGAATTCTACCAAACATATAAAGAAGAAATAATACCTATACTCAAACTATTCCAAAAAATTGAAGAGGATGGAACACTCCCAAATTCCTTCTACCAGGCCACCATTACCCTGATATCAAAACCAAAGACACTACAAAACAAAATTACAGGCCAATATTTCTGATGAATATAGATGCAAAAATCCTCAACAAAATACTAGCAAACCGAATTCAACAATGTAT